GTGTTTGCCTATTCATATCTTCCGCAGACTACATTTGCATACTAACAACGTATTTGCATACTATTGGTAGTAAGTACAGGTCAGGCATGGGTCGTGTCTGTTGTAGCACTTTGGAGCAGTGTTCATTTCTCCTCCCCTGTGGCAGAAATACGCAGCATTCACGACACAAAGATTCAGCTGGAGTCTTACAGAACCTGCGCTCTTGTTTTACTGCGACACGTGTGAACAGTTATTTTGTGTTTCCTTCATACATGAATGTCATCTGATGTTTCAGCAAAGATAGTTTTTTTCAGAATCTTGGATTAAACGGGTGTACTTGTGATTAGTAGAGGCAGGTGAGAAAAATTGATTGACGTTGCTGTTCCTGTTAGCTTCAATGTTCCGAATTGACTCGCCGGTGCTGCAGATCGTTTTTTGTTAATGACTTTCTGTTGGTGCGATGAAAACCCTGAATGTCAACTACAAAAGTGGAGTGCTGAAGGTTTGCGGTTTTAACACTTGGTTATTGTACAGCATGCAAATACGGTCTTTATTAAAAATATTGAGGAAGATGCCCTTCCTTGTTGGTGTTATGCCAGACTTCATCAAACACGGTGGAGCTCTCCACATCCTAACTTGAGTCATGGCAAGATTTGGGGAAAATAAATTTATTTCTCCAATATTAGTTTATAACTCTACTTTTTTACAACAGATGCCTCCTGCTTTGCAAAAAGAATTGGAGCATTCGACATAAAACCCGACGTTCTTAGCAAATATTCAAAAGTTTTCAAATCTTACTGCTGAAAGCTACCAGTTTTCACTGCTCGGGTTTTAGCTGTTCTTTCAGAACCACATTGAGGGTGATGATGACATAATAATAACATGGGGTAGGCGGTACCTGTCTCTCATGGTATCTGCTACTGGGAGAGGCAAAGCTTCACACTTTATCTACTAAGTCGGACTTGTTTCCGGTCAGAGTTGTTCTTTGTCACCGATTCTACTCGTAACCTTTACCGACAAAATTTCTTGACTCAACCAAGTTGTTGAGAGGATCCATTTTTCTGACCTCAGGATCGTCTTTTTGCAGATGATGTGGTTCTTTTGGCTTCGTCGGGTCGTGATCTCAAGCTTTTACAGAGCGGTTTGCAGCTGAGTGTGAAGTGACCAGAATGAAAATCAACCCCTCCAAACGTAAAACCATCGTCCCGAGCCCAAAAAAGGGTAGAGTGGCTTCTCAGTCCCAAGTGGAAGAATTTTAAGTTTCTCAGGGTTCTGTTCACAAATTAGGGGAAAAATTGAGTGGTACATTGATGAACCTGTGGACGGCACAACAGTGGTGTTGTTGAAATGGCTGGTCAGGATTCCTGTTCTGTGGGCGACCCACTGGGTCGGAGACCCAGAGAAAGATTTGGGGCACGCTGGAGGCGCTATGTTTATAAAAACAAAACTTAGTAAATTAAGAAGAAGTTTGTCCTTTTCATTTAAGTCTCAATTAAAATGAAAAAAACAGATGTTGAAGGTAGTATAAGTGCAATGATAAGAATCAATGCAGAATCAAATTCCAGTCGTTATTGCGGTATCAGTGTGGGCAATGCTCAGTCGCATCTCTAGATGCAGTGTTTGGTAGGACAGACTAGTTTGGGTGCATTGAACCTGGCTCTCCATTGTTATTTGCTCTGTTTGATGGTCTTTTATGTAACTGTTTGTGTCCAAGATTCAAAAATTTTAAGGGGAAGAAAAGAGTGAAAACATGTTTGCTCTCAAGAAGCAAACTGATGAAGACATTAAGGCAGTATTACAGTTAATAATCTCTCTTATAGTCATGAAGATTATCAATGCGCTTTGCATTTGATTGTATTGCAGCCATGTTTCAATTCAGCAGATAGGAAAGCAGAAGATATCTTTTAAGTAGCTGTAAATTGAGTCTCTATACGGTGCAGTACAAAGGGAAATCCAAAGAGCTATCATTGTTTAAAAGCAAAGCTCACAACAGCCTGATTATCTCAGAAACCATGTTTCATTGATCAGCTCATTGACTGCTGATGGTGACAATGACACTGAGCTACTGTCCTTCTCATTAGGACCTTATTGGCCTGTCAGAGGAGTGTCTGCTGTGGGCACACAGGGCACTGTCATATCCACACTCCGGGTCGATTGATGGTCCATTAACAGCCTATTAAACATGACTAAGTGAAGGAGTTTGGAGTACAATGTTGGGCCAATGGGGGTTTCCCACTCTGCCTGATAAGATTGGTGGATTTCCATTTTTTAACTTTTGTTGGGCTTTTCTAGCAATGATTTATTTTATGTCTCTTTTTAATTGTCAGACCAGAGCTTTTTCTTTTTTAATTGTTGGTAATGGCTGTTTGTCTTGCTGCAGTGAATCATTAAATTAAATTAAAGTTGTTGCATGATTATCAGTTTTGCATTTATTGAAAGTTGGAGAAAAATAAATGTTCTCATAATGTTTTTTTTCACCATCTGTCTGAGTTGACCTAGTTATGGAGATTATGTTGTTTGAAAAGTCTTTAACATAATGCCAATGCCCTGTCTGCTGCTGTGGTGTCTCATGGCATTTTAGAGCTACTTGACTATAATCAGAATCACAATTTTACCCAATCTGAGCAATAATAAAATGGCAAAGCTCTGATTGGTGCAACATTCGGTACAATCTTTATAGCAACGCAATAAAAAATGTGCTTGCCAATAACAGATTTGTTAAATTGGATGGGCTATCACTCTTTTATCACATCTAGGTGACCTAGATGGTAAAGGTCAAGTAGAAGGTTATGGACTAGAAAGTGGCTTAAGTTCAATCCTCTTGGATTATGTGTGTCATTCAGGATTGATATCCTCATCCTACATTTGACAATAATGTTGCATTTTTATGTGTTTCCAATCACGTGCAGCTCTGTTCCAGCTACGGTATTTGTTTGGGAATAGAGACATAGTTTACATTCGGTAGCTGTAGCAACCTCTTGCAGATGTTTTCTACTTTTAACTTAGTGTTGGGGAAATTATAATTTAATTTAAAGACTTTTTTTTTCTGTAGGAGGGGCAGGAAAATAAGCAAGACGACAGACACGTCAGACAGTTTTATAAGAGATATTCTAACTGGCTATATTGTGATTGTATGGGCGCATCTTGTAAAAACTTAAGATAAGACATTCCTGGTGTGTATCATAGTGATAGCTGACATCAAAGATTTTTCACAGATGCAGAATTTTTCTAAACATGATGAAGTGGATTTTTGTTCTGGAACGTTATCTGAATTATTTCACTTCAGTCCAATAATACTCATCTATCCAGCTCATGTACTTCATGTGCCAGTAGAGGAAACCATCTTTGTGCTGCTGGTGATCTCTACTCAAACCCTTCAAACTCAAAGACTTATTCATCATCCTAAATTGACTTTTATCTACTACAGTTAACTAAGTATTTGCATAAAAAAGAAATTAGAAAGGTGGTGTCATTTTTTCACTATTTCAAAAGGGTTGGGGAAATATTTAGAACATTGTTAAATATTAGTTATCAGCCACAACGGCGAAAATATTGTACATCGATATCGGCCCAAATGTTCAAATTGGTGCATCCCAAATTCACACCAGTATAAGAATAGGTGCTTCTTTCGAAAAGCAGTTGTTTTTTGAAACAAAAGATTGTTTTTTTTATTAACTCGTATCTGTACCTACTACTCAGAAAACTTCCAGTTGGGAAAACCACATAATAAATCTCTATTCTTTCCAAACCAGGCGAAATCACCACATGTTGACAGCATCTCAATATTAGCAGGATATTGAAACAAAAATGTAGAATATGAGCATATATTTGTCTGAAACAGAAAAGCACTGAAACATTTATTGCTGCTGATAAAATAATCTAAAATTCAGATTTTTTTTCTTTTATGGTTAAAGAAATCGTATATGTCGTCTTAATCCACAGACCACATTCACAGAGGAATTTCCAGCTACTCCAGTACTTACAGGTGTCTCTTTAATGGGGTTTTAAAGAGGAATGCACCAAATAAATTAAGATTTGTATCGGTTGATGTTTTTAACAAATCAGTTCTGAGAGTAAAGCTGGGCTGACATTATGCGCTCTGTTTTTTTTATTTATTTATTTTTACAATGTCAAAAGGATGGTGAAATATATAAAAATATATACTGGTAAACATCAGTTATTGGCGATAAAAGCATAATTTACATCTGATGGAGACACTGACCTAAATTTTCCTGGATAAGGTGGTTCAGTTGAGGGAACTAAATAAACAAATTAAGGAAAAGAAAATAAGACATTCCAACAAGTAAAGGATATTATTTGAAAATGACAAAGTTTTGATTGAACCAGAGATGTTTCTCATCTTGCTGCCAATCTGTCCGTCTGGTTTTAGGTAGTAGCTTTATGGAAATTATCTTATCGTTACTGTAATATTGTTCTTATGTTTTTGGCCGTACAAGCTCGACTTGTGAACAAATGTTTTTTGTTTGCAAAAAGTACCAGAAGCTGTCAAATACAATTTTGACCTAACTTGTGATTTACTGGCGCATCAGAAAGGCATTCTGTGTTGTCAGAGTTCCCATGCAGATTTGGAAATTCTTGAAAAGAATTTACTTTTATAGTTTTCTAGCTCTGGATACAATTTGATACGGTGGTTTTCGTCAGTAGTTTTATTCACTACAGTGGAAAAAATGCACACTCGAGTTTAACAACAACTTTAAAAAGCTGAAGCCATTTTCAGTATTCTCTTGTTTTTTAATTTGTGAAACCTACAGAAGATGAGACCCGATTACTAGTGAAGAAGTTAAAGGTTTCCATTTTATACCTGGCACTCTGTCTAGAATATTGTGACAACTTCAGGAAAAAAAAAAAAAAAAATCTAGAAATTTTAGTCTGGAACGGTATTTTAATTTTGAAATTAAAATGATTTTGAAAGTATGCTTTAAATCGTTCCCTTCCGATTTCCAATTCTTGTTTTGCGCAACTCTTAAATCTATAATTTCTTTTTTTTTCTCTCATTTCAGGTTAGCGTTATATGTGTACGAGTACCTGCTACATGTGGGAGCACAGAAGTCAGCACAGACCTTCCTGTCTGAGGTAAGACGGCGTCTTCGACTCGGAACACATTTAGCTCCGACCGAACGTTCAAAGTCCTCCCGAAATGTTGTCTTTCATTGGAAATCACCTCTGCTTTAAGTTCAGCCGGCTCCTGTTGAAACATGTTACCTGCAAAGTGGGCCCAAGTGCTTCTGAAGGCAAACGGCTCTCTACATTCCTCAGTCTTAATGCAGATCTAAGCAAATACACACTCTTTCAAGTTTTAGCTTTTACACAGCAGGATAAACACCAGTAAGGACATAATTAAATGAACAGCGTGTCAATATTTATTAAAAGCTCCGGGCAGGTGCTGGTAATTTATAGCTAAACCAAACAACTTTTTACCAACCAAAATGTACTGAACAGGCTGTGAAGATGTGGCCAATTATCTCAGAAGACATAAGTGTGGGAAAGGCTAAGAAGGACATTTTGGACAATTTGGATTCCTAAGTGAAAAATGCATGGTGTAGTATGAAAGATTATTCACAAAAAATGTAAAAATGTCACAAGTTATTGTTGCATCGACCCGTTGACCATTGATTGAAGTCTTCAGTCTTTCTAGCTGCTTTTCAGCATATCTGTTACAGAAATAAATTCAATTGATTCGATATATCTAAGCTAAAAACATGTTTGTCTATAGGAAAATCAACAACCAGTGTTCTTTGATGCTCTTTGTTTAGAGTTTAGTGGAAATCGTATAAAGGTAGGAACATATGCTTTGATGAATAAATAAGGATAACCTTGTATCTGTTTGCTCTGCAGCACGTTTCCCTGATTATTTTTTTTTTCTCATCTTGCCGTGAAATCAAAACAAAGTTTGCTCAAATAAAACCGAAAGTTTTTCATAGACCGCTAAAAGAGAATTGTCATTGTTCAGTAAAACATGACCAGTTCATCTATACCTGCATATTTTCTCAGAAGTTTTTCCACAGCTTCATGTCCTTTAGAGGGAACTTTTATAGAGTTGTACATGAACAAATAGCTGGTGGTGTTAATGAGCCGAGGCAACGTTACATAGGAAGAAAAATCAAACCTGTGCAAGAATGTGATTGACAGAAAATATGAAATAATGATGTTACTTCAAGTATTATCAAGGATGGAATATATATATATATATATATAAACAGAATAATTGTTGTGCAGGTTATTTTCTAGAGTTTGATTTTTGAATCCTTACGGAAATCGAGGGAATTACAAGATTGCCCTAGTTATGCACGCAAACATGTTCCTAACCTTTTGTTTTTTTATTAAACTCCAGATAAAAAAAAAGTTCTTACATTTAAGTGATTTAACAACCTTTTGATCACCCGTCAGAACCAAGGGGAAAAATTTGCAGATTTAAAAAATATTTTTATTTCTTGACTTTTCTCTCTCACAATGGTCTGATTAAAAAAAAAAAAAAAAAAAAAAAATAGTTAAGTCGGGTTTATTATTTCTGTCTCAGTAATGTTTTTTGGTTTTGTTTCTGTGCGGTCAGTTCAAGGATCTAAACATGATCTCCTGGTGCAAGTTGTTACGTAATGCTTTAGTTTTACACCAGATCCTGCCGACTCTCCGCCAATGAAATCTGAAAACCAAAAACAAAACCGAAGTTCTTTTGGAGAACTCCATTTTTAGATGTTTGCATCAAAATACTTTCTCAAAGCGTCTCTCCAGTCGTGTGGGAGCTTTTGAATCTGGATCCACGTTTTTAACATGTTCAGAGCAAAACGTTAAAGAATGAAAGTTGATGTCAGAAGCTGTTCTCGGTTTTACGCAGTGATTACACTTTCTTAAATCCCAGGACCTACAAACCAGATGCTATCTCTCATGACTCTCCTCCTTGTTTTCTTCTCAGATTCGATGGGAGAAAAATATTACATTAGGGGAGCCACCCGGATTCCTTCATTCGTGGTGGTGGTGAGTATCCCCGTCACGTTTATCCCTGCCTTCACGAAACCAGCGACTGAATAAGCAGGTTCTCCAGGCCTGTTTATTTGTCCTGACCTCCTGCAGTGTCTTACTATATCAGTGAAATCTACAATTGGTGGATACTTTCCCAAAAACAAAGATCATATTATGTAAATGCGCAGAAAATGAGATTCATGTCCTTGTCGATGATTTAAAAATGTCCTCCTGGAACTGAAAGTCCAGCCGACCGTCAGCCTTTTTCTTGACCAGACTCAGCGAGGCCCTGACCCCCGCCGCTCTCTCCTCCTCCTTGGCCCCTCCTCCCGCTCCCCAACCTTCGCCGCCGCTTCTGAAACAATAGATCCAGATGGTTGGGGAATGGACCCCCATCTTCGCTCCTCCTCCTTCCCCCTCTCCTCACCCTTTGTGTTGCCCCCCCACCCTCCGACTTTACCCCCTTTGTTCACACGGGAGAGGGCTTTTTAGCAGATTAACCCGTTGCATTCCAGCTTCCTTTGTGTCACCTCCTTGTCATTTCTCCCCCTCTATCAGACTTGACCTGTTGGGTCAACACCTTAAAGCCCCGATCAGCATTTTCACTGGATTTTACTTCACTGGTGCATTGTGGGATACAGTGCATTCAAACATTTCTTCATTTACCCCTCCAAAAAAATGTCACAAAAGCAGCTTGTTAAATTTAAAGGAGCTATAGCTCACACTTACATGAGTTTTTCAGGTTATTTATGGCTTCTTTTTAAAATTTCTAATTTCTCAATAAGTCGGCATGTGATAATTCAATTGTGAGACATATGCAGTAGTCAAACACAAGAGCTCAAATGCATTCTTTAAAAATGTTTTTTTTTTTTTTTTTTTAAGTGTTTTCCAGCTCTGCATAAATTTAAAACCACTATGGGAAACCGTTTGATACCAAATTCACCATTTTTATAATTCTAAAAACAAAAACTGTAACTGGTGTGTAAGAGAAGGATGGGCCTTCCCCACATACCAAAAGGTGGTGCATGCCAATTATTGAGGTCTTCCTGTTGCGGTGCTCTTTATCGACGCTCATCTTGATACAAAGATGTGGTTTTGTGTTATCGAACAGGTTATTCTGCCACCAGGAGCTGGTGGAGTTACACAGATTTCAACTGGGACTCCAAAATGACAGAATTAACTTTTTTTAAAATATACATATATGTATAATTTTTTTAATTATGCAATCGGAGAATAATCCAATTGATTTTCCAAAGACATTCACATTTGTTTTGGTGACATTTTCTTGTTTGTTTTTTTACACCTCCTCGGATCTGCAGCTTCCGAGCTTCCACCTTGTCAGCCCCCACTCAGCTCCTTCAGACTAGCCAGAAGTAATTAGCAAACACCTGGTGGAACTGCACATCTACTTCTCAGTGCAACGCTGGTAGAAAAGTTGCTTTTACTAACAGGATACTAGACGAGCGACGCTGTGATGACTTCCTGAAGGCGGAGTTTCAGAAAGACGAAACTCCGAGTTTTTAAAGAGTTAGAGGCCCAAATTTAAGACAAAGTCAGTTCTCTTTAGTCGTTTTAAAGACAACAACTGAATGTTGCTTTATGGCACAATGTGCCTGGAAAATACATAACACCGCCCTTTAAATTATAATATTTCTTTAGAATTTTTGGTAAATAAAAAGTTGTCATTGCTTTTTACTTTTCCTCATAATGACATTTTTGCTAACATAAGCCAAAAAACCCATTCTTCTCCAAAGGAGAGTATTAAAGGAGAAGAAACAAACTAATTTGTGATCTGTTTAGTGAAATAAAGGAGAAGATGGAGACGCTGAAGAAGCCGCTGTGTTTTTAGGTGAATGAAAAAGTGCAACTCTCAGGCGTTTGGCATGTTTGTTAGCATTGCATTCTGCTGATGTGAAGTGAAGAGTCTGGCTGATTAGCTCTCTCAGTAGTTGTCTTGCTGTTCCAGTGCCTTAATAGTGTTTTTGTTAAATCAGTGCTCAAAGAACCTCTTACTGGATCAGGTATTTAGCACAATTATTAGCAGCTTGATTAGCCTCTCTTCTCTTAAATGTCGTAGAAAACCTGTCCTCAGATTCCCCCACTGTTGTGCTTCTGAATATCGGGGTTATCTGTGGCCCAGATTTGTAAACGGTATGTAATATTGTTGTTTCAATTACATTCACTTGAGCAACTTTTTGCAAACTATGTACTTTGAGTAGTTTTAGTGCTGCGCCTAACCCTAACAAATCAAGTAAAGAACTTTCTGTTTAGTAGATTGTTCATTAATCCATATTACCTTTATGGAGAGTGATTTAGGAAAAAAAAACCTGCAAAGCTGCTATGTTGAATGTAATTAGGGTAAAAAATTGTGTGCATCTAAATAAAAAAGTTAGAAACACCAGTTCAACCAGTGTAGAAAGTAAGTCTAGATCCCTGATCAGCCAAAGTTACCCAAACTTAATGATTTCAGGGCTGATTATACAGTAAAAAGTATGTCCACATTGTTGTCACATGAAGTGTTTTACCCCCTCACGCAACACAATATTTACGCTACATGCTGGAAGTATTAACTTTAGAAGTTTTGTATTTTTATGGGGTTTTTTCTTACTTTATGTAATACCAAACTTGTATTATATTTCACCGTCTGATTCCACCATTAAAAAAAATAATAAATCAAATATCATATATTTGATTTATATTTAGCCTTCTACTAAATTCATTTTTTATTCTTTCTTGATCATTTTTATCTGGATAGCTACTTTATACTTGAGTAAATCCACTTTTTTTTTTTTTTTTTTGGCCGTCTACCCACCTCTGACAGTAACTCACCATGGTGTTTCAGGGATGAGACCATTTGCTCCTTTTGCACCTTATAGTAAGACACAGGCCCTGGTATGATAATACAAGTACATGTGTGTATTTTGAGTGAGTGAGCGGCTGATTGAGAGGGTGACACTGGCATTGTGTCCCTCTCACAAAGACGCTCAAGTGCATAAGAGGTGGTTTAAGAGTGCTAGGGAGATAATGAAAGTGTGTGAATGGGTTATGATGAATGGCTGTTACACATGGGCTTGGAGCGCTCTGTTTGCTAACCTCTGACCTCTCCTTTCCCTCTTCATTTTAGCGTATTCTGGGATTTGTATTGTGCAGCTCCAGACCGAAGGGAGACGTGCGAACACTCCAGCGAGGCAAAGGCCTTCCATGACTATGTAAGTGACAAATATTGAATGTCGGCTGACGCTCGGCGTCGGTTTATCTTGAGAGTGAGGCTCCGAAATGCTAGCATCTTCTTCAGGGACATTTGGCTGAGAGAAACGCGTGCAGCTAGGGGAGAGTTTATTGCTGCCCCGTGGAAAGACGCGTATAAAGACCTGAAATGAATAGATTTTTCACCGCAGCGGCATAAAATGGTCTCCATTGAAGGCATTAATTTCACGAGGTTGAAGCATAAATATTATTGTTGCTTTAAGACCATTTTCAACTAATATAACGTAATATAATGCTTACACAAAGACATTTGTATAAGTAATGCTGGAAGTATACCTTCAAAGGTCAATAAACTTTAATTTCCAAGGAATATTTAACATTGGAGGACATTTTAACTATCCAAAATAAATAAACAAAATAACCGATACAACAAATAAAATGGAAACTAGAGTCTGTGCGAACAAAAGGATAAAACAGCGAGAGAAGCAACAAATTATTGGGCTCGTTTTAATTTAGACAGACTTTGTGGTCATTATATGAGTTTTCACAAATTCATTCTTAGTTTTCTGACACACAGCTACGAGTTTTTTCTTTCTTTAGTTTTTTTTTTTAACAATCTTCTTCTCAAATCACAGATTTACATTTTGTTTGTCTTTGTGATGGTAGGAGAGAACAGGTTGATGTTTTTTTTTTTTTTTTTTTAATTAAAGAGACCACCTAGACCCTGGGGCAGAGATTGACACTTTTTCCGGTAGTTTCTTT